CAGGAAAGTCGTGGTAAAAGGTGAAATGGGCCTCACCTGCCCATTCCAGAGGAAGTGGTGTCAGCTCCCCCAGGTGGGTGGAGCACACTGGGAAAGCCCTGTAGATGGCAGCGTCTGCTTCACTCTGAGTGTGTGTTTTCCAGCTCATCGTTTGGAATATGGGCTGGAACCTTGTTGGTCCTGTTGTTCGATGCCTGTTATGGAATGATAAGGAAGAAGATAAAAAGAAACATTATTTTCTGATGCTTGATTTATTGGTAAAGGTAAGTTCATGAAACGAGGTCCTCTCTCCAAAACACACGGAGGTCAGAGGTATTTTATAATTCTCTTTAATATTCAGAGCTTTACCACCTGTTTGGGAAGAACACAGTTAGCTCAGAAAAAATGCTCTTCCGAGAAAAGGCCCAAACTTTTGTGATTGGGTGAGTGATTACATTTCAGTGTTTCCCAAATTTCCTCGGTATAAAAATGACCTAGGCTCATCTCAGACCCATTGATTCTGAGAGGGACCTAGGAAACTATTTCCAAGAAGGGCTATCTGCTAAATGTGAATTATTGTTTAAATGTGAAAAACAAGGGGGCATAATTCAAGGCACTAGTGATATATTGGAAGCATTAGCACTAGCATTGCACTTCCTTGTTTGGTGTAATCTCTAAAAAGATAATAAAGAACTCTGAACGCGATCACAATGAAGCAGGCCTCGCGAGGGGAGACTGTCATCGGTGTGACTGGCAGCCTTAGAAGCCAGTATGTAATGGCTGAGAAAGATACGTTCTGAGGGAAACGTAAGAAGCTACTCGGAGATCACTGCAAGCCCACCGAGTAAACAGGGGAGCTTCAAAAGTCCGTGGAACAGCTTCACTTCTCTGCAAACTTCGGAAGTCCCTCCCCCATGTATACTGGAAGCGTTTGTTTGATAAGGAAGCATTTAGCTCCAACTAGACAGTCGTTACTCTTTGTGAGGATTGTTTAGCGAAGTGGCAGGTGAGTTGGTTAGGTATGGCCAGTGAGAAGGCAGCAAAAAGCTTCCTCTCTTAGGAAGAGACTGCCTGGACTAGTGTTCACCGCCTTGACTGAGGGGCGGGAAGCGCCACCAGCTCACCCCCTGGGACTCTCCAGCAGCCGCCAGAGGAGATGGTCCAGTAAGGTACAAGGAAGCCTCTCCGCTGGTGATAGGCTCGCCCCGCTTCCTTTAGCCAGGAAGTTAAGTGCCCACGCTGCCCTTGCCACCAAAACCCTCTGACTTGCTGCTTCGATGTAACAGCTGCAGACTGTGTTGTGCTTACGGATTTCTTTTCCCTTTGTAATTGTAGCATGTGTTTTACTGTGAAGCAAAAATAATTGTCTTCTGGGTATGTGCTTTCTTTTGAAAATAGTAATCATGTGGCTTTAAATACAACTTGTATTAAACAGGTTCAATTGTGAATATTTTTATAGTTATGTAACCCAAAGGAATTATTGTTGGGTTTGCTTGAACTGATCGAAGAGCCCTCTGGAAAACAGATATCCCAAATTATTATTCTTCTGCTTCCACCATTACACACAGGTACTGAGGATTTTGATCATTTGAATATTTTTTGTGTCTGTGCAACTAGCTAGCCCTGACTTTTACCCCAAAACATCAACACTACACCAAAGCAATTATTGAATACTCTGCTTAAACTGATATAATAGTAATGCGAGTTGAATCTTCCAGTTTATGGAAAGAGGGCAGTACTTAGATAGACATTACTGGGGTAAGTGTTGTCTGACCTATTGTGTTAACAAGCCAGAGACAAGTGATTGTGTACTGGTTAACATAGGACATGAACTTAGAAGTGGTAGAGCCTGGCACAGTAGACAACTAGTGTATGCTTTATTGAACATGTGCTCTTTTTCATGTGCTGTGACTGTAGGTACGCCACTGTAGGGACACCAGGAGTTGATTTTGACTTGGTGGAAGTGAGAATCAGAAAAGAAAAAAATGTTACAACTTAAAAAAAATGTCCTAACCGTCCTGGCTACAACCTTTAGTTAGAATTTCTCTCTAAACGTGCTCCTCAGTGGGGGAGCAGGGCCTGCAGTCTTCCTGTGGTAGTATTGTAGCTTGTTGAAGAACAGCACAGGGCAGGACTTCGCTCAGCTTCTGCATTGCATTGGGGATGGGGTTGGGAATGGCAAAATGGTTTTACTGAGGAGTAAAACCAGGAAGCAGAATGATCAGCTCCACAATATACCGTATATACTCGTGTATAAGCTGAGTTTTTCCAGCACATTTTCAATGCAGTTTTGGGGGTAAAATTAGGTGCCTCAGCTGATACTGGGCTTATACTCGAGTAGACACGGTAGGTAAGTAATAGACCTTGTCAACCAAAGCAGTCAATGTTTACTCCATGGGTTGGAGCTACGTTTTCAATTTATGACCTATATAAAACTTAGAAAGGAGCCCTGAGTTAGGCTGTTAGCCATGAGGTTAGCCGTTCAAATCCACCAGCCATTCTGTGGGAGAAAGATGAGGCATTCTACTTCCGTAAGGATTTACAATTTCTGAAACCCACAGGGGCAGTTCTGCTCTGTCCTAGAGGGTCTCAGTAGGGTCGCCCTGAGTCAGAATGGGCTCGATGGTAGTGAGTTTGGTTTTGGATAAAATTTAGCATCTAATAGAGGGACTTAGCATCAGAAGTTAAATTGTTTTAAATAGGAGTGTCCATTGTTGTATTACTTGAAGTATTTAAGATTTTCTAGACAGGAAACCTGGTACTATTCTCTTTTGGGCAGTGCTTATAGTTTACAAGGCACTTTCTTATAGTTTATCTCCTCTCAAATGAAAAAAAGATGTATTTCTGTTAAGTATGTAACCTGTTATAAATGTACCTAAGCAAGATTTGAGGGCATCTGTTGTGTTATGCCACAATTGTACGATGCTCCCTTATTTTGCATACCAAGAAGTAACACCACGGCCAGTTAAGCCCTGATGGGCCATCTTGCTTGTGGCGTGGTTACGGGAGGGTGGGGGATTTGCCCTATAAAAATGCATTGGCTAGATTTCTTGTGCCGGGCTTAGCATTCCCGGTGAAGCTACCTCAAGTGACAACTTGATCTCTGTTTCAGTGATTCAGAAACTTCATAACAACAAAGCCTACTCAGTTGGCTTAGCATTGTCCACCCTCTGGAATCAGCTCTCTCTCCTTCCGGTTCCATACTCAAGAGAACAAATGCAGGCAGACGAATATGGTCTCGGTCAGTGTTGCAAAGCCTTGATAGAGTTCACTAAGCCGTTTGTGGAGGAAGTCACCGATGCCAAAGAAAACTCCGTGGAAAATGACATGTTGAGAGAGGAGTTACTGAAATTGTAAGTTTATTTGAACTGAAGCAGTGGACAGCCAGTTAGGGTATATGTTTCTTTCCCTTATTTGTTTTCCAGATAAATGTGAAATACTTTTTAAATTTTGAAACTTTAAGACAATATGGGATTCAGATGATAAGACAGTGGGACAGTTAATGGGGTACTGGTTTATAAAAGATTGTAGAACCAAAGCTATGCTTTGACTCACAGTAAATGAATCATGAGAGGGGCCCTAGGTTACATCGACCACAGGGAGTCTAATCTTTCATGGGGAAGTGGTTTCACTCTCCCTGCAAGCTCAGGAAGAGCACAGGTAGTCGGACAGCGGACGTAACTGGCCCTAGTGGCCGGAGTACAGACACAGCAGCAGAGCACTCAGTGGTGTTCGCTCCAGGTACTGCAGGCTCAACCTCCGCTGCACAAGTGGTTACTCAGCACTTCACGTATGGCCAGTTAAAGTTAAGAAGTGCTCAAAGTGTAAAATACCCACTGGATTTTTTCTTCTTTAATACTCACTGGTTTTTTCTAAAGTAAAATAACTCAAGGTGTATGCTGATTGGTATTGCAGTGATAGTATTTAGGATGGTGAGGCGCATACTTTGGACATACTATCAGGAAAGACCAGTTCTTGGAAAAGGCATCATGCTTGATAAAGCCGAGGGTCAGCAAAATGAAGGGGACCTTCGGCGGATGGACTGACGCAGCGACTGCACAGTGGGCCGGGCATAGCAGTGGGGAGGGTGGCGCTGGACCAGGCTGTGCTTCCTTCTGTTGTGCACCGGCTACTAGGAGGGGGAGCCACCCTGACAGCACCTAACAGCCGCCATCACCGTGGTCCTAGAGTTTAATGTTTTTAATTCTGAAGACTAAAGGAGTGTTGTCAACTTTCTATTTTGTCAGGCTAGGACTTAAAAAAACAATGTGCCATCCATCCCCATGTCATAACAGAAAAGACATTTAATGGAAAATAGGAATCACAGAGTAAAGTTTGGGATTCTAAGTTATAAAAAGCCTGTATGAAAATACTCTGTCTCAATTTTTTTTCTGGAACAAGTAAAATCTAGATCATGAAGGAGCACTGGTCCTAAGAGGAACTTTCAGGATCCACTGGTGTATCCCCCCAAACGGTAGAGGTGTGCCCCATTGAGTCAGTGGTTGCTGCTAGTATGCTCGATTTCTTGTGAACTAAGTGCCTTAAAAATACTATACTATATTAAGAGTTTGTTTCTTATACTTCAGTTGTTTCAAAAGCTTGAAATACCCTTTGCTGACAGCACAATTCCATGAACAGCCAGAAGAAGTTGGAAGTGATCCTCTGAGGTGTTTTGCATCTGAAATAATAGTAAGTATTGTTCATTTAATTCACTATGGAATCTGCTATACTCTACTGTGTCTTCTTCCATACTGCAGGCAGGGGATGGATTTAACTGAGATGAGGTTGGAATCAAAGAGGTTGGAGCCTGGTTGCTGTCTCTTGGGAATGTGAAGAGAGGTGCTGGGAGCCTGAAGTATAGAAAGTGGCAGGGATGAAGACAGGGCAGGCTTGAGAACCTCATAGCAGGTAACGTTTGGTGAAGGCAACGTTTGGTGATGAATTTGGAGGAACAATAAAAGAGGAATCAGGGCTATGGTTTTCTATGCTTGGGTATCTGGACAGACAGAGGTGTCAGTAACTGAGATGGAGAATGCAAAGCAAGAGGTTTGTGCTTCTAAACATTTGTTTTCATTAAACATTCAGGACAGTGGAATAATATAACAGATCCTTGCATCCTCTGCATCGGCGTTTTACCAGCGTTTTGCCAATCTTGTTTATCCATCCTCTTTCTCACTGTATTATTTTATGGCAAGCCCTGAACAAAAAGCATTTTCTCCATAAATTCTTGTGTATGATTATATAACTGAAGCTGACTTTCTTTTTTAACATCACGATGATGCCATTGTGACACCTACCAAGATTAATATTGAATATCAAATATCTCGAGAAAGCAGGGTTTTCAGGAAAGAAGGAAGAGCATGTGTGGATGGTCAGTGTGAGAAGACAAAAGGGCTCAGGCCTGAGCCCTCGATTGTCCAGCACTTCGGACGAGTTCATCAGGGAGTCAGTCCCTAATGAGAGACCAGTCCGTATTTCTGTGTGACTTTCCGCTTGTGTACAGAAGGAGAGGAGTGGATTTGAGTCATTATTCAGGGCTGATGTTTTTCTGGACCATTATAGTTGTGGTTAATTGCCATCAAGTCAGTTCAAACTCCTGGTGACCCTCATGTGCACACAGAGCATCCCATAGGGTTTGTGAGGTGGTGACCTTTTGCAAGCAGATTGCCAGGGCATCTTCCAAGGCATCCAGGTGGGTTCACACCGCCACCCTTTACACTGGTAGTCAAGTGATTAACTGTTTGCGCCACCCAGGGACTCCTTCACGCCCCCTCCCCGCCTGTTCCCTTACTGCACAGATGTAGCTACGTTCTGGTAGTTTGGGTGGCCGATTGTGTGTGGTCCAAGATTGATAGGAAAGGAAGGGAGGTTATGATGGGATGGCCAGATGAGGCTAAAATGGAGAGATAAGAGAGAAGTAGGTAAGAAAGTCAGAAGATGGGGTAGCAGAAGTTCCAGTCCCTCAAATGGAAGAGCTCTATCCCGACCAAGAGCCAGGATAAGATGAAGTGCTGAAAGGGAGCAGAAGTACAGGCCACCAGAAAACAAGAATGTGAGACTCCTCATGATCACTCAACTTTTCAGAGAACCAAAACAGGAATTGGAGCTGAGAGAAAGGTGGTGAGCAGACACCAGAATCTTCAGCAAATAAGCGGAACTGATCAGAAGATGGGTATGAGACAGAGATAAGGACAGGCAGATAGAGGGCAGTATGGCATCTCTTTCAGAAGGAAACGTGCTTTTGTTTGAAGGTGCAGGAAGAGCCAAGCTAATCCTGAGCCTCTGTCCGACCACCTACCCCACAGCTGCCTGGCTGGCCCATAGCATGCGGGGAGTGAGAATGAGCAACCCCCATCCAAAACGAGGCTCTGAATCAACATGGTTTAATGAAAGCAGTAAGGAAGAGCAAGACTCCTGTGATCTACTGAGGGTGCAAGAGATCTCTGCGACAGAAGTGTTAGAAGTAGAAAGAGCTGACAGTAGTAAAGCCCAAGGCAGTCAAGAAGTAGAGGTGATAGTCGGGAGGAGATGAAGTGAGGAGGGGCCTTAATTTCTGTGCTGAAGTACAGCTATGTGTGATTGACCGGCGTGTGCCTTCCCACTGTAGCACAAGTTGTTTTGGCACAGACTGCTTGAATCTCCCGAGGTTGTAGCATAGGTTCGTTTCCGGAAGAGTAGCATAGGTTCGTTTCCGGAAGAGCAGACATTGTTCTGAGGTTTGAGAAACCAGAGCAGCATGCATTGCCTTCGTCTGGGCAGGGCTGCTGAATGGTGTGTGGGTCGTGAAGTCCCCAATTTGGACACAAGTAGACCCCACACTTCTAGAACAGCATGATAAGAGTTTAGATGTGATGGATTTTGTAAACTGCTTCCTTACTCTGGAAATAACATGAACTGAGAAACAGTCTGCTTTTCCATGATTCCCTTTTGTGTTCTGAAATGACCGATGGAGCCATCTGGGATTAGCAGATTTTAACTCCCTGAAGGTGGTGCAGTGGTTACATGTTGGGTTGCTAACGGCAAGGTCAGCGTTTGAAACCACCAGCCACTTCAAGGGCAAAAGACGGGCTTTCTACTCCTGTGAAGAGTTACAGTCTTGGAAATGCACAGGGGCACTTCTACCCTGTCCTTTAGACTTGCTCAGAGTTGGCCTGGACTCTATGGCAGTGAGGTTTTTCTTCTGTTTATATCTAGCAGTCAGGCCATTGGACTTTCAGTAAAATTCATTTGTGTATGCCTTTAATCAAGATTCTGAATTAAAGACCAAAGTGATGTAGAAACATTCCGAGAGATAAACGCTTATGGAGACTATGGTTTGGTTGTTGGCCTTTGTATTGGTTTTCTCGTGCTGCATAATTCCCACAGACGTAGCAGCTTACGAAGGAACTCTGGTGGCGTGGTGAGTTTTGCCTTGGACTGCTAATGACAAGATTGACTGTTCAAATCAGTAGGCCCTCAGCTGGAGGAAGATGAGGCTTTTTACTCCTGTAAAGATTTACCGCCTTGGAAACCCACAGGGGCAGGTCCACTTTGTCTTATAGGGTCACTAATAGTCACAGTCGACTCAATGGCAGAGTTTGGTTTTTGTTTTGTTTTAGCCGCTTAATAGCAATACACTTTTGTTTTCTTATAGTTTTAATAGGTTACATTATTCAATAAGTTCCGCATTCAAGGTTGTAGCAGGTGTTGGCTGGCTCTGTGGTCTCACCAGGGGCTTAACTAGGGAAAGATCCACTTCCAAGCCCCTTCAGGTTGTTAGCAAAATGAATAAAGGCCAGATTTTCTTGCCGGTTGTGGCTGGGTGTTGTTGTTAGGCCTCGGACCAGCCTCTGGTCCTTCACTATGTAACCCTCTCCGTAACAGACTGCCAGCCATCGGATCGAGGCCCACTCCCAGCAACCCGGTAGGACAAAGTAGGCCTGTCCCTGTGAGTTTCTGAGACAAACTCTTTTTTTTTTTAAATCATTTTATTGGGGGCTCGTCCAGTTCTTATCACAATCCATACATCCATCCATTGTGTCAAGCACATTTGTACATTTGTTGCCATCATCATTCTCAAAACGTTTTCTTTCTACTTGACCCCTTGATATCAGCTCCTCATTTTTCCCCTCTTTCCCCCTCCCCCCTCCCTCATGAACCCTTGATAATTTATAAATTATTATTTTGTCATATCTTAAACACTGTCCAACGCTGAGACAAACTCTGCAGGCATAGAAAGCCCAGCCTTTCTCCCTCCAACTGACTTGAGGATTGCAGCCTAATGGATAATCACTACTCTCCCAGGGTTCCGAACATAACAGCTTAGTGCTTTAGAGACAGCAAGGAAGACCGTCTCTCCCAGAAGGTTTGGACCCTCTTTTAAATCATTCCACCAAATTAAGCCAGGCCCATCCAGGATAATCTCCCTTCTGAAAATCTCAGCATTAACTAATTGTGGATCTTAATGGCTGTAGTTAGGTCCATCGAGTCAGCTCCAACCCATAGCGACTCTATTCCTAACAGAACGAAACCCTGCCTGGCCCTGCACCACCCTCACAAACGTTCCTGTGCCTGAGCCCATCGATGCAGCCACTGTGTCAGTCCATCTCGTCGAGGGTCTTCCTCTTTATCGCTGCCCCTCCACTTTACCAACCATGACGCCCTTCTCCAGGGACTGTCTCTCCTGACAACATGTCCAAAGCATGTAAGATGAAGTCTTGCCATCCCTGCCTCTAAGGAGCACTCTGGCCTTCTTCCAGTACAGATAGCTTTGTCCTTGTAGCTTGTGTCCAAGGTACTTTCAGTATTCTTCAGTACTGTAATTCAGATGTATTGCTTCTTCAACTGTCTTCCTTATTGATTGTCCAACTTTCACATGCAGCTGATGCATGGCTTGGTCCTCAGAGAAACATCCTTTCACTTAATATTCGAAAGAGGTCTTTGTGCAGCAGATATACCTAGTGCAAATCTCTTTTGATCTCTTGACTGCATTGATTGTGGATCCAAGGAAAACAAAGTCCTTGACAACTTCACCCTTTTGTCCACCTATCATGATGTTACCTATTGGTCCTGTTGTGAAAATTTTGGGCTTTCCTTAGATTGAGTTGTACTCCTTACTGAAGGTTACAATCCTTGATCTTCATTGGCGAGTGCTTCAAGTTCTCACTTTCAGCCAGCAAGGTGTGTCATCTGCATTCTGCAAGTTGTTAATAAGTCTTCCTCTAATCCTCATGCCACACATCTGTAAAAATTTCTTTTCGTCAGGTAACAGACTCTTGTCAGGGGGGCAGCATCTCATCGTGGGTACCACAGCATGCAACACCCCCAGGCCCCACCCGTACTCAGACAAGGGGATTAGACGAGGCGTGGCTGGGGTGTGCTGCTGAGCTCGCCCTCCCTCCCTCCGGTGGGTCTGCCAGAGCTGCCTTGCTTCTTTCGCAGGGTTTTTTATCAGCAATTGGAGACCCTTTCTTCAAAATGATTTTGAATTATGGAAAGAAAAAGAGGATTTGGAGACCTCTCGAGTTTGAGGAAGAAGAAGACAAGCAGTTAGCAGACACCATGGCTTCACTGGCATACCTAGTCTTTGTTCAGGGCATCAGTATGGATGAGCTCCCACTGGTCTTGAGGTAAGTAAGAGTTCATGGTGGGTTTATTGAGGTATGCTAAAAAGAGTATTATTGGCGCATGTATATGACTTTCTATATATGTATGTATTCATTAACATGCTCTAAGACACCTCGCCCCTAAAGTTCTAATGCTCCCTGGTGAAACTAGCGGTGGGTCTGGGTGTTGAAGTAGTCAGCCAACTGAGCTTGGTTTTGAAGCTGTTGGGACCTCCTGGACTAAAAGCAAGGGCACTGATTAGGTACCAGTGAGGTAGTCAAAATGAGCATCTCCTCACTAATGTTAGTGTTGCAATCCGGTGTGGGTATATCCACACTTGCACTTGCTCCCTTTGAATCCGAATTATTCTCACATTAGAAAGTGGAGCTTTAAAAGCAGTCTCGCACTTGAAGCCCTTCAGTGCTTCTCGTTGCTCTAGGAATAAAGTCTAACTGCCTTAACATGACTTGTGAGACAAGTTTATGTGTGGTATGGTCCCTGCTTTGTTCTCATTCGTCCACCACCTATTATTAACCATGCTCCTGCAACACAGAACATTTGCTTTCTTATTCACATGTGTCATGAACCTTCTTGATCTTGGGCCTTTGTGTATGCTTGGAACAATCTTTATTTTGAATGTTACTTTCTGAGGAAAGCCTTACCTCTCACCACCCAATGAAGGTTGAATCTTCCTATCGTAATTACCTTGAATTTGTCTTTTCCTATAAATTTATTAAAATGTATGTATAGGTATGCAATTTACACTATAACACCTTTTGGATTTTAAGGTCCATGTAGGTCTTAGGTATATTTCTCTGTGGTTATTCTTGTATCTAAATATTGCAATAATGGCTACCATTTCATGGCATAATGGGTTATGCATTAAACTGCTAACCACAAAGTCAGTGGTTCGAACCTATTGCTGCTGCTCTAGAGGAAGATGAAGCTGTCCACTCCCATAAAGACTTAAAGTTTCAGAAACACAAGTGGGCAGTTCTGCCCTGTCCTATAGGGTCACTATGAGTTTGAATCAATTCAGTAACTATGGATTTTTTTATATTGGCTTGTTCACCATGTATTAAAACATTACTCTAATGGTTTTCTGTGCATTTGACATGCATTATCCTTATAATAACTCTTTGAAACAGAGCATTATCTTATTATACAGATGAAAATAAGAGACTTACATGTTACGTCCCAAGATAGCACATACTTAGTGGCAAAGGTGGGACCGTTGGCCAGCTTCCATATGAAGCATGATACTCTACCACCAAAATAAGTTCGATTTGTATAAAATTTCAGAAAATGTATGCGTATATGTATCAATATCTTTGTTTTTGTCTCCCCCCCCCCTATTTTAGTCCTTTATACCTTTTGAAATTTAATATGGGGCATGTGGACGTCTTTTTGCAAAGGTAAGACCATTCAGATGACTCAAAGAATTAAAGAGTGCTAAAACAGCCCTTGTCATGAGCAAGGGACACTCCTTTCGCTTTGCCAAGTCCTCATAAATTAACTTTTTTTTTAATCAAACAAGCAGATGGTGACAATGGAGACAGAAAACTTTCCCCAGAGTCTCTTATTCTCAACCTAAGATATTAATATACTGTCATAATTAATGACTCCTGTGGTTTTCTTGCCATACATTTTAGAAGTTTCTTTCCTTATTCCAAAGTTGGTAACTGGAAATATCCTTACCCCACTGCATCCTCCTTTGTCTGAGGAGAGATGGTTCTTAAGAGACGTTCATCCCTGCTCCCTCCACCTTTTAGCATTCAGATTACTGACAGTGACATCATTCAGTTACAACTTTTCTCAGTTGGCGTGCTAAGAGGCAAGAATTTCTCTTTTAAAACAATTATAAACTAACAGCTATACATAATTTTTCAAGACAAAAATTTAAGAATTTTGCAAACGCATGTCTAAATTATCTCTTGAGATCAGTCAGAGCCATCCTGTAGGCAAGCTAGTGACAGCTTAGCAATCCCATCTCTTTGCAGGTGAAGGAAGATTTTTAACATAGCAAATATCCAGCACCTCAGCCCACAAGGCAGAAATTTCCAAAGGGCTCCTGGCAGGACTGGTTATTAACTCTGTAAATATGTGGGAATATGTATTATCTGAAGTACTTCATATTCTTTTTAGTTTCTATTATTTATATGGCAGTGTACTGTATCCTTATATATTGTTTTTAAATCTAAGCTTTATGTTCTTGAAATTCTGAAACTGGTTAGTTAGTCTTTGAAGCAAAAACATAACACTTACCTCTTTCTGTGATTAGAAGAACCTAGAAACTGAAATGATATATATATATTTGGGGCCTTAAATCTTAAGTATTTAATTAACAATTATCATAAGCTTTTAAAAAACAAAGTATTTTAACTAGCGAAGTCTTGAATTATTTTTGCATAAAAAAGAGCTAAGGAGAATTTACAGAGATATGAACTTCATTTGTACCATTTATTGGTTATAATTGATTTCTTTGTATGTGCTACTGAAGATCTGTTGATTTGATGCCAAGAATTAAGCCCCAAGATTTGGGTGTCAATGGCCATTCAAAAGAGAGATTAAATATGGGCTAAAATTTACTAAGTACTTTTAACAGAATTTCTTCTTAATGTATGTTAACAGAACTTTTCCTTAATGCTGTGTATAAAGTCTCTACATTTCAACTTATTTTTCCCCTAAATGATGAATCTGAAGCAATTTTAAATGATTTAAAATAATGTTGATAACATTTTAATATTCTCTTCCAGAACAGAAGAGTCTGTGTATTCCAAAGGATTGGTAAGATGTTGGCCTCAATTACAATTTACAGTTATATCAATAATATAGCTATTGATGTCAACGTGTACAGATCTCTGGATATATATATATATATATTTTAATATATATTTTAATCTGTAGGATCTGTTGGAGAACGGTTTATTAAGAATAGAAGACAACCATTTACCTCACCAGTACTTAGAAATCAAGAGTTTTCTTACTGTGCCTCAGGTAACTAAGATGCTTTGTATCTTAATAGTTGCTTGTCTATTTTGAATGGAAGTAAGATCTTTTCCAGGAGCCCTGGTGGCACTGCCAGGTGTTAACCACATGGCCTATGGTTCGATTCAGTCAGCCACTCGGAGGCGAAAATTCAGCCCCGAGAGCCCTACATGAAGTCCCTATGAGTCTGACTGGACTCGATGGCAGGAGTCTATTCGGGTCTCTTTTCCACTCCCGTCCGCAGGCGCTGTGAAAGATCTAGTGCAGTGCTATCCACTGGAACTTTCTGTGGTGGTAGGGATGTTCTCTTAGCTGCACTGTGCAGTAAAATAGTCACTATCAGCATTCAGCACTTGAAATGGTTAATTCAACTAAGAACTAAGATTAGATTTTATTTCATTTAAATGGCTACTGGCTACATTAGTAGACAGCAAAGCGTGTAATGGGAAAACGTCACTTTCTTTTCTAACAGTGTTCACCTTGCAGATAAATCTCCATAAATCGAATCCTGAGGGTCCATTTGAAGGATCTGTTGACTCATTACAAGAAAGACTAACAGTTCACTTGTACCTCCTATGGTTGATTTTGACCAGTACTATTTGTTAATTAGGATATTCTAGTAGGTCTTTGATTTCAATGTAGAAACTGAATTTTTACTACTTAAAAAGCATGACTTTTGTTAGTGTATTAGACCTCATTATTTTAAGGAGTGGATTGTTCGACTTCTTCATATTTTCATTTTTATCTACTGTAGACATACTGAAAATTAACACCCCACTCAGTATCACTTACAAAATTGATCATACCTTCACTGCCTAGAGTCATGACAGTGGATTTGTGGCTCAGAGAAAATTTTATTTTTAAATCTCATTTCTCTATAATTTTAATGGCCACCATTATAAACAATGATGTTTGTTTGTAAGCACTATAATAATGTCTAAATTTTCAATTGTTTTATTTACAGGGTTTAGTGAAAGTAATGACGCTTTGCCCCATTGAGATATTGGTATGTAAATGGTTTGGGAACAAAATAATGAATTACAATGAGAAATTGAATAAATACTTTTTATTCATTTTATGTAATAATGTTGTCTGTTTCATTTTAGAGGAGAAAGGGTTTAACTATGCTGCAGCTGTATATTAACAAGCTGGCTTCACAAGGGAAATACACATTATTTAGGTATGTATATACCAAGCACATTGCTAAGTGTGTAGTTGATTAAAAGCTAAATTCGTGCATGTGATTTTTTTTTTTATTGTATAGTATTTCAGTATGACTTACCCGCAATACAACTCGAATTAAAAACCAATTGCTATTGAGTTGATTCTAAATCATGACCATTCCCTATGGGTGTCCACGTAGAGTTTTCAGAAGTAGATTGACCCTTTCTTCAAAGGAGGACTCTAGATAAACATAAGCCTCTAACCCAGAGGTTTTTCAGCCTGTGGGTCGCAACCCCTTTGGGGGGTCAAATGACCCTTTCACAGGAGTCACCTGATTCATAACAGTAGCAAAATTACAGTGATGAAGTAGCAACGAAAATAATTTTATGGTTGGGGGAGTCACCACAACATGAGGAACTGTATTAAAGGATCGCGGTATTAGGAAGGTTGAGAACCACTCCTCTTAACTTGTTGTTGAATGAGTTAACTATTTGCACCACCCAGAGAGTCCACAACTTTATTTGGATGTCTAATTAACTTCTCTTATTCACAGTAGGTAGAAGAGGGTTAAACAAATGTTCAGGATATGCACACACATGCACAATGAATACGAGTATGTGTTTTAATTCAGCTACTTGAAATACTCTAAAAATATATTGGACTTACATGATTAAACAGATTGATAGGATCCCTAGCATTTTATTCACAGTATAAATGAATGGCTTTGGAGTTATAACTTTGACAGGCTATTCACTCTAAGTTAAAAGCAGTGCTTACTATTAATGATATATGAGTGGGGAGAGATTCTAGCAACTCTCTATTGGAGCTAGCAAACTTTCGGTGAAGAGCTAGCTAGTGAACACTTTTTTATAGGCCATATGGTCTCTGTTGCAACTGCTCCCTTTTGCAGCAAAAGTTGCCACAGTGTGACTTTGTTGTAATTAAACTTTAGAAAACCAGTCCGTAGGTTGTATTTGGCTTGCAGGCCTTAGCTTGTGACCACTGTTCTAAGTAATAAAATGATTTTAAACAGTAAATGTGCTAAAAAGTCTACTTTGAGGTGAGCCAGAATTAGTGCCCTTTACCCTGTCTGTTCTTCATTACTACTGATAGAGCAGGTTTATAAGATCTGTTTGACTCTTAGGTTTCCTTGCTCTGCTCTGTCTAGATCCCCACAAAAAAGGTGGGCTTTTGGTGACTTTTTTCCCCAAGCTAACCCTATCTAGTTTTCTTTCTTTGCAATTAAACTGGTATAACCAACACTAGTATACTTCCATAGGGAACAATTTGGAGAGGTTTTAGGCTACTCTACTAGTGTCCCTGTCTCGTTAAATAACTACAACTCACACCAAGCCCATTGCCATCAAGTTGAGTCTAACTCAGAGCGATCCTATGCCACTAGATGTACAAAGAAATTCAAATTTAGTTTAATAGAAACATCTTGTTGGAAAATCGAGTTGCAAATAGAATTTGTCATCAGTTAAGTGACAATAGTAGATAGAAAACTTTGTAATTTATTATCACTTTGCTAATTGTCTTCACCGTGGATTTTGTATTCCTAATGATAATACATAACCCGAACTTTCACCATCATTTAATTGTAGTACTACCTTGGGTAATTTCAAATGTATAATTTTGATTTCAAGGTGCTTATTGAATACAAGTAATCATTCAGGAGTAGAAGCCTTCATTATTCAAAATATCAAAACTCAAATCGATGTGTCATTAAAGGTAAGGGAAAGCATGCTAAGCTATCCATTAGCAATTTATTTTACTTAGTTGAATATGTTTATTTACTTGTGGAATATGTAATGTGAATTTTTGCCCTACAAACCTTATCTATCTTAAGTATTTTTGTTTTTACTTTCATTTCTAATTCTATTCTTTTTAAAAAACAAAAATACATAAAAACAACAGAAAAAACCCCCAAACACCTGCATTTTGAGATTTTGTTAAGTGTAAATTGTATGAATTCTTCAGTTAGCGATCTTCTTCTACTGTATTATATACTTCTGAAAATTTAGATATGTATGACCCACACGTGAACACTCAGTAACTCCACAGAGAACACCACTGTTCCATACTGGACAGGAAATGCGTAATAACTTGTTTTTGTAGTCATAAAGTATTAGAAAAACACATGAATTTCTCTTTCTTTTCAGAGGCCACAAACTGACAAGTGGTTTACAGGGCCACAGCTGGTTTCCCTCCTAGATTTGGTACTTGTTCTCCCAGAGGGTGCGGAAACGGACCTACTGCAAAACTCAGATAGGTGAGGTGACCATCACTAAGGTCCAAAGCTCAAATGTAAAATAAAAAGTAAATTCCTGTACTTTAACAAGGTGAACTTAAAAAAAGGTTTTTCTGGGATGTTATGCTCTGTAGATAATTTCTAAACCTAGATAAAGATTGTCATATGTAAACGAGCTAATGAGTAAGGGGCCCTGGTGGCCTAGTGGTTAACATGTTGGGCTGCGAGCTGCATGGTCAGCAGTTGGAAACCACGAGGAGTTCCTCAGGAGAAAGACTGGCCTTTCTACTCCCATCAAACAGTTAGTCTAGGAAACCCACAGGTTGTTGCTGTGAGTCAACACTGACTCAATGGCAGGGAGGGAGCCAGGGAGCGAGCGAGCGAATGATTAAAATCAAACCAGAAAAAATTATTCTTTCCAGAAGAGTGACCAACAACTGGAACAGTCCCGTGGGTGCACAGCCAGCATTCATCAGAGCACATAAAATGTGCAAGTAAAAGAACTTTGTTTTTATTTTGTTTTCTAAAGCATCATTCCCCCCACTCCCACCCCTACCCCCTCGTATAGAGCATGTAATTTCTTTCAGTATACTAGAATTGATGTTAAGAAAATGGCTGAACACATTTTATAAAAGTAATTTTAAAATTCAAAAAGCAAGCGATGATAGCCGTAGATATTAAAGATAACAAAGCTTCCTTGGGGGAAAAAGGAGATAGTAGTATTATCTACAATTGTATTTTGTAAACATAAATGGAGAAGAAAAGTTATTAATACTCCCGAAGAGCTTTTTATTATTGTTATTTTTAATGATTTTATTGGGGGCCGAAGAGCTGCTAAAGAGAATAATTTCTAATGGCAAATATAATTCCATAAATACACTGTGACAGGCTTTAACTTATTCCCTAAAATTGTTGTTGATGATATAAAACTGTACTGTAAGTAACAAATTATATATTTTTAATTAACAGGATTATGGCTTCATTAAATTTATTGAGATACTTGATTATCAAAGATAATGAAAATGACAATCAAGTAAGTGAACTTTAAAAAAAAGTGATAGAGTATATTGAAAATGCATAAAGAATGTGTCAGATTTTCTTGATAAATACCCTAGTTAGGCCAATATTTTGCCTTTTACCCAGCTACAAAGACTGGGGGAAACCCAAATTCCAAAACCACTACCATTGAGTCCATTCCAGTTCATCTCACTCAGTCACTGCCATGGAATCGCTGCCGATTCATAGTGACCCTATAGGACAAGGTAGAACTGTACCTCTGAGTTTCCAAGACTATAACTCCGATTCATAGTGACCCTACATAGGATTTCCGAGGCTATCAATCTTTCTAGGAGCAAATAGCCTCATCTTTCTCCTATGGAGCAGCATGCTGGTGGGTTTGAGGTGCACCCCTTGAGGTTAGCTTGTAGGGTTGGGAAAGTACCATTGAAACTTGACATTAATTCCCAGGAATCCTTACCTCCAAAGTCTCTTCCCCTTCCCCACTGTAGCTCTGGCTCTGTAGCTGTGACCATTGCTTAGCCCTGTAGTATGTCCCAATTTAATTAACCTTTGGAATGCAATGTATATTTTAATGCCCTGCTAATTTGATTCTACCTAGGACTCATAATTTAATTTCAAGACTTACGTATAAAATTATTCTGATATTTTCAAATTGCTTCATCAGACATGACAAATTAAAGCGCTTCAGCTCTTATTGAATTTGTCAATAGCACCTTTTGGATAATGTGTAGGAAGTTGGAATTTTTAAATAGCACACCATTAGAGATACTCAATAAATAGAAAACTATTTGAGGGAGATTTGTCATACAGTAAAATTATATTTGCTTTGTATCTTCTACCTACCACTTTCTAATAGTTGCTTTTCCTATATACATCAGCTCCATTAGCTAAATGAATCATAATGTGTTGTTTATGTTGTTTTTTTTAGAAAGTAATAAAAAGAATGAAAGTAATTTTTACATAAGATGCCAACTAACTTTTTTCTTAAGTAATCTTAAATTTATGGGGGAAAAGTTTTATTCTCTCTTTAATAAATTCAGTGATTTAAACTCCAATTCATCCCTCTTGAGCCCCAAATTATATCTGCTGGCGTTGACTACTGCTTATTCTGTGCTGCTGCTGTTTCCCTCTACCTTTTATTCTAAAAATTTCCAAAGTACATAAAAGGTGAAAGAAATTTCCAGTGACCATATATTTACCCACTGCTTAAATCCTGTCATTAATATTTTACCCCACTTACTTTGTCACGTTTGCATCTCTCTACCCTGTATAAATCTATCTTCTTTTTAAAATGTATTAAAAGGTAAACTGTAGGTCCCCAGTATACTAGTTGCACTCACTCCTGGCGGTCCTGATGCGTGTCACAGTAGAAGTGTGCTCCGTAGGGTTTTCTTTTTTGTAATAACATTTTGAAAATAATGCACATTGAAACATCAACAAAGTTAACAATTTCCTCATGGACAATTCAGTTACACGTAGTACAGTTTTTGAGTTGTAAAACCACTCACCCTCCCTTTCCAAATTGTTCTTCCCACCCTTTCCATCTAATCTTGTAGGTTGCTCTTGTCACTTGGATTCCACATAGATAGTTCTTTAAAAGAACACACTGCTTAAGGCAGAGTCCTTATTGAGTGAGCTAAATTATTATTAGATTTAAAGGAGACTTGGGGGATATTTTTTGGTTTAGGATTTAAAGATTATCTCAAGGCAATAGTTACAGGGATTTATCCAGCCCAGTAACTCCAAAATGGCTAGATTCTTTGAAAGTTGAAATTCTGTTCTGCCATCTCTACCCTGCCCCGACCCCACCCCCCCTTTGATCATGACTGTTCTATAGAATCTTTGGTCAAAATGTTCAGCAATGGCAGCTGGACACCATCCAGTTCTTTTGGCCTCAAGGTGCATGCAATTGGCCATGCATTCCATTTCCTCCTCTTATTCTTGACTCTCCTTCACCGCTCCAAGTAAACAGAGACCAGTTTTTATTCCTTTGATGACTGCTTGTATGCTTTCAAGACCCCAGAACTACACAACAGACCAGTAGGACAGGAGCACTAAAAATGGTAGTATGCCAGTTAACTGGGATGGTTTATGGAATTACGATTCTAACCCTCCAAACCAAGAATCCAAATTCCATAAAGTGTTTGGTTGTACATAAGCAGCATCAGCTACTGCTCTTTTTTTAATATATGTTTCACATAGTGCTTCCAAATTTTTTTACAAGCATACAACTTGACATCAATTTTACATTAATCAGCTGTGCAACTGTTAGCCTTAATAACTGCGAACTTTCCATCACCACAAACAGAACTCCATCCTCCACAGTAAAACCCGGCTTCAAAGGATTTTCAATGGCTGATTTGGGGGACCTTTCTTTCAAGGTGCTTCTGGGTGAGCTCAAACTGCCCATCTTTTGGTTTGGTGAGCAGCTAAGTACATTAACCAACTGCGCTGTACAGGGACTCTGCAGATCTCACTATCTGTCCCCTTCATATTGCAGCATGTGTTAGGTATTTGTTGACATATTATGAAATGTATGTATTTTGAGTGTATGTTCACTGAGTTTTAACAAATTTATTGTACAATCGCTGCTATAGTATCCACAGATATTTCTTCAATTTTATTGGGCTTGAACATTTTATGGGAAAGGAAAGGTTACAACCAGCTTTTAAGAGCACTTTTTATGGTTTTCTTGAACTGAGAAGTTGAAAAAATTTTAGTGATCACCCATTTACTACCACCACCAAGATTCTACTGCTAACATTATATTCTATTTGTTTATTGTGTAGCTATCTCTCCCTCATTATCTATTTGATAAATGTAGTTAATAAAATGTTACAAACCTGATGACTTTGAGGCAGGAGTAAGTGCCTCTCCATCAAATTTGAACATTTTAAGTGTATTTTAGTTTTTATTTCACTCTGGGAGGTAAAAAAAAAAAGAGTGGTATACTAAAGTTTACAAAGAAATTTAATATTTGGTAAAAATTACATTGATAATTATTGATTGGAAAAGTTATTTTTATGTTTTAAATGAATTGATTTTAAAAAACTTTTTATTGTGAATTAGGTGGGGGTTTTACATAACATAATCTTTTTTGTATTCAACAACTTAGCAAACTTCCCCATGGCTTATTTTATTCTCATTCCCTTCTAATTGCTTCTCATCTCCTTGTAAGATACTATTCCCTTTCACCCCTCTAGCCTTAACTTCCCCTTCCCTTCTTTCCCGTCCCATCCTGGTAATTATCAGTCTGCTTCTTCTGGCATGAAAACCTCGATTCCTGCCACCACTACCACCAGCAACACACAGGCACAGAGGCTTTGGATAATATTTGCCCCTCTGTGATTGACTGACTTCACTCAGTGTAATGTCCTCTAAATTCATCCTTGCCAGGAGGTGTTCCTCTTTCCTCACTGTTCTTTAACAGTTGCAATGAGCATTTCTGGACATGCTCAATGCTTGGCTACCCGGGAAGGCAGAGGGAGGAGGAGAGGGGAACTCACTGATCCAGACACCTGAGCTTGTTAAAGGTGAAGGAAAAACAGTTCATTGTGGTTGCGTCACAACATGATAAACACAACGTCATTGAATTGTACATAATGAAGCATAAATGAGTGCTAGTTCTTCCCACTTATTAAAAAAATGACAACTCAAAATTTTAGAAATTTTTGTTCTATGTTGGGGAGATAAAATGATTCCCTGCTGATGCTGAATTGTGAGGACTTCTATTCAGCAAGCTACTGGTATCTATTTTTGGCCAATTAAGTGTGATGAGAGGGAAACTAGACCGATGAAAAAACCAGGTGTAAAAGTCATTCAAATGCAAAGTCAACAAAATGATCCATAATTTAATAATACTCTATTTCTTTTCCTTTTATTTTGAGTTACTGTCAACTGACTTATGTTCATGTCACTGTTCTCCGTATCCTACTCCATCGTGTTTGTCTCTGCTTACATTTTAGACTGTGCCTTCTTTCGCACTTCGCTCGTGTACATTTTTCTTGTCATACAGCATAACTGCCGCTAACTCTACTGGTAAAACTCAGCTTAGTTTTTATGCCTAATACAATCTAATATTTGATGAATCTTTAAAAATAGTTTTGTAATTGCAGCAATTACTTTCTAATACACAGCCCATTATCATTTTACTTTCTATTCATCTGCCTACCCATTTTTTCTCTAAATAATTTGTAATTTAAATATGTAGAATAAAAGCAGGATCAGGAAAAATCTAAGATTACAAAAATAAAAAAATAGGAATTGTGCAAATACATGCATTTCTTTTCATTTAGAAAAAACCCTTTGTATTGTATATGTATACATACACATATACATACAATTGACCCTTGAAAAACACTAGGTTAAGGGTGCCACTCTCCCATGCAGTCAAAAATCCACTTATAATTTGCAGTTGAACCTTGAACAGCCCAAGTTTGAACTGTGGGAGCCCACTACATGTGGATTTTAAAAAATTCATTGTGACTATGGTGAGCTCGTGTTGTGAATTACCGGCTTAAAACTCTGTGATGCTAATAACCTGAGTGAGCAGTTCCCTTTCTCTAGTAATTGCTAGTTCCTCACTTTGCCATTACCACCCTCGCCCAGCTGGAGAGGAACTGCTCTCAGAGGTTAGCATCACAGGAAGATACTTAGAACCCTTGGGCTCACCAGAGTAGGAACTGGGGAAAAGAAAATCCGAGTATAAGTGGGCCTGCACAGTTCAAATCCATGTTATTAAAGGATCGACTCTCACTCTATATGTATGATTCTCTATAAGCTGTATTTTGAATTTTCATTTAAATTGTTACCTCAAAATTGAAAATTGTGTGTGTGTGTGTGTGTGTGTGTGTGTGAGAGAGAGAGATTTCTGGAGTCAAATGACTTCAAGCAATTGAAGCCCCTTAATGTTTTAAGTGATAGAAATTCTGCAGTGTGTCATCACAAATAAGACATTTGCAAATTAGGAAGGGGTCCTGGGACTTATTTGCTCCTTTTTATTCATTGTGATTTTTAACTTTACCCTGTGAGTTCTGCCAATAAATGTCATTGTGCCATGGTGCTGCCTAGTCTCTCCTTTCCTGAGCTACACTGCACTGAACTTGGAAATGTAGTTAAACCTTAGAATAGAAAAGATTTTGGAAGTATGACATTAGTACTTGAGTGAACACATAAGTATTTGGGTGAACAGTGGATGTGTGTGAACATGTCAGAATTTTAACCGTATACAAATAGTCCCCAATTCTCTGATGACTTTAGTAAATTGTTATTTTTAATGCTGCATTATTGTATGTAGTACATATGAGACAGCTTCAAAACTTTGTAAAAAAATGGAATTTTTCCAAAAACTGTTTCCATGAAACACTCTTGCCTTGCTAACGTTAGGAACGTAAGTCCAAAGTAACAGCTGTGTGGTTCATTGTAACTCAAGATACCCTGTAAAGTCAGGACGCCCTGTTCAGTGAGACCTCCGAGAGCTGGAACTTTTGACATAGCTGCCGTGTTTTCCCAGGTCTCCCACCTCTGCAGTCTTGACTACTTTGCTAGTGTTCTTTTTGTAGAAAATAGCTGAGTTTTTCGTCTCTGACAGAGCTCGGTCTTATATATCCAGCTGTCACAGGTTTAATTGTGTATTTATAACCCCTAGATATTAAAAAGGTATCTTAAAAGGATTTTCTTTTTAGCATTTTTTTTTTAAGAACTGATAACCTGATGTAAGCGTGGGATGAAGGAGTGTTGTTTCCACAGCTTCTTCATACCTTTGTTTCTAAAAGTTTTCATCATGTTAAAAGTTTATAGAATTATGCTGAGCAGAATATGTAATATATTTTCTTTACCCTAATTTTGGTACCTATTTTTCTGAGGATTTTGATTATGGACTGGATATAAGAATACAGTATTGTAATTAAAAAAACCAAGGTCTTAATAAAGACTCTAAATTGGCATTGTCCAATACAGATTTAGCTACAAGTGACCATTTAAATTAAGATTTTAAAAATTGAAAGTTCCTCAGTTGCACTAGCTTCAAGTGCTCAATAGCCACATAGGGCTGGGTCGCACTCATAACAGTGGAGAAAGCATACATTATAATTCCATCATGGTTCTGCTGGAGAGTATTATAGGAGAGTGTTTCTCGGAATAGGATCCTTTTCAAAATAAGCCATGTTTTTCTTAATGCAATTTTTTCATTAATTTGCATTAAGAAAAAGAATAAATTTCTTTTTCTTCCCTTTACTTTCTTGAATGTTTCTTCTCGGGTGTGGAATTAAGACTTCTTGGTTCCTTTCCTGTAGGGCTAGAGAAGAAATACCTGTAAGATGACAAAGTAACTAAACTGTCCTGCTGTTGTTAGGTGCCTCTGAGTTGGCGCCCACTCGGAGCAACCCTGTGTACAATTTAACACAACACTGCCCTGTCGGCCTGCGCCCACTGTTGCAGCCACTGTCAATTCTTTTTTGACTCTAACCCTTTCTAGGAACTGGTCTCTCTTGCTAATGTGTCCAAAGTATATGACACCACAGCTTGCCATCCTGGCCTCTAAAGACCATTCTGGCTGTACATCTTTCAAGACCGATCTGTTCATTTTTCTAGCAGGCCTTGGTACTTAACATATTCTTTGCCAACACTGTAATTCAAATGTATCAATTCTCCTCCAGTTTTCCTTGTTCATTGTCCATCTTTCATGTGTAGATGAGGTCATTGAAAATACCACAGGTTGGGTCAAGGCTGGAAGCTTCACTGAAACCTTTTTAACCTAAGTGGCCTGCTGATATTTGACATACCAGTGGCACAGTTTCCAGCATCCTAGCAACCCATAAGCCACCACAGTTGACGGGGTGAGGGCAGGGGGAGGGGATGCTTAGGTCTGTTAAAATCTCCATCTACAATGGACATCAGAACTTTCTTGTGGATTCCAATGCAGACTCAGAGTAGCCCTATCGGGCAGAGTAGAGCTGCCTCACAGAGTCTCTGCTTCCCTAGGGAAGCAGACTTACCTTTGTCCATGGAGCAGCTGGTAGGTAAAATAACCTACCTTCAGCCAAATGTACAAGCACTGCACCACCGGGCTCCATTACATTACGTCCCAAGGAAGTCTCGGTCAGTTTAGAAAAGCTTGCTACAGTAGGGCAGGATACACATTGTGGGGATGGTTATAGGGAAAGAGGAAATTTTCAGACTGGATTATCCTCACACAAATGATTTTCTAAAATTTTAAATTTAGGATCACAAAACTAAGAGCTACTCAAATGGCACAGTAATGTGTATACTGCCATAAACACACTTTTGTTCTGATTAGTACTTATATAAAATAGTTGTAATAAATGTATTGTGAAGCAGCAAATAAGACCGAGTAGACAGGTCTTTGAAAGGCAAGGACCATGTCGTACTCATGTTTCTTCAATGCTCAATTGATGTTTAGTAATACAGATTTGCTGAACCAAATAACTGATTATTTCATTCATTCTTCTGAATAGACTGGATTATGGACAGAACTCGGAAAGATTGAAAATAATTTCTTAAAGCCACTCCATACAGGACTTAATATGTCAAAAGCACACTATGAAGCAGAAATTAAAAATAGCCAAGAAAATAGCAACGGTTGGTAATGTGTAATTTCATTTCCAATTTGGTCTAAAAGTCAAATTTTGGAATGGTCACATATGTATTCAAGATAAAGAACTTTTAGAAACTCGTGTACTTAATTTATACCAAGCAAGGGAAAATGCTAACCAAATCATTCTTTTTATAATGAAAATTATTCTTAGCAGCTTCATTAGCCAATTAAACCTGAACCTGAGTTAGCAAAGACATGAATCAAAGTATATTCTAGCTTAAAACCTCAAGTCTGGTTAATGATAAAACTACATTATGTGTATTTATTTGGATACCACCATACTTTAGCCTATTCCAGAGTAAATCTGTAAAAATTATGAAAAAGAAATTTAAGTCCAGAATTACTTTTAAGTCAGCAATTCTGTTTTCTTGTGATTACTTCCTTATCAATATGATGATATTTCTAGTTATTACTATGAATTTTGTCTTTAGTGTATTGGGCATGATTATATAGTGATAAAACAAGTTATAAACCTTCGTTTTCTTATACATGCCAATATAATGCTACTCACCTAAGGCCACATTAATTTACATGTTACAGAATCTAATTTTGATAATTTGTTTATGGTTTAAGCATAGCCCGAGCCTTCAAGTAGTAAAACTTAAGAACTTACGCAAATAATTGCCATATTTTTTTTAAGTTGATGAACGAAAGCCACTTATAAATTTACTCTTGAAGTCAGGGTTATGTAAGTCAGTGTGACACAGTGTTTTTCCTCTCTTACAGAAGTCCAGAAGTCTAAAGATATTTGTTCTGTCACTGTATGTGGAGAGGAGATCCCCAGTATGCCTCCTGAAATGCAGCTCAAGGTGAACTGACGTCTTCCTAAGTTTCTAAAGTACACATCTAGCTGAAGTCTTTTTTGTTTTGCACTGTTTGGTTTTAAAGGCAGCATTAATTAAAATGGATTTCTCCTGGCATCACAGGTCCTACATTCAGCACTCTTCACGTTTGATTTGATTGAAAGTGTGCTAGCTCGAGTAGAAGAACTCATTGAAATCAAAACAAAGTCTACCTCTGAAGAAAACACTGCAATGAAGTAAAGGTTCTACCTCCTAAATAAAAATTAGTAAAACATTTCTGTGATGACTTATTTAAAACTTAAAAGAATATTCTGTAAACATTATTGCTAGAAAAATAAATGTAGCTTCTTTTCATCAGCTTGTTTAAAAGCACATGGATCAGTAATATATGGTTTTTAAAAGTTGTCTACATGGTAAATAATTCTAGTTGTACAAGCCCCCAATAAGATGATTTTTAAAAATTGTAATTTTTAGAATTCATAAAATGTAGTATTCATTCACACCGAGGTGATGAGATTTTTAAAATATTGGTACCATTTCTACTCCAGACAAATGTCATGTTACATTTTAGAACTCCCGGTGTCCAACTGGGTATCATACCACTATACAAGGGAAGAGAAAATAGTAATTTGAGTTCAGGCAAGCAGATAGCTTTTCTTAGCTTCCCTCTCCTTTCCTGCCTTGGGACTAGCTCGAGAAAGGGTTCATCACCATTTCTCCTACAGAAGTTATAATGCGGAAGCATGTACAAAGATTCACTTTAAAAATAAATGCTACCCTTATGGTAAACCTTTTTTTTTTTACTTTCTTTTCAGACTTTTCCTTTAGTCTTAGGGGCTCAGAAGGTTCTCTTATTTTTATTTCTAGTTAACACTATCCACCAAATTTACTTTGTATCATTAAGAATGTACATCTGGGTTTATAATATATGTGTTCCAATATTTTCCTTAAAATTATTAAAGGCATTATGCAACAAAGCTTAAAATAAAAAACACTTTTAATTGCATACATTTTTAAGTGAATATAAAAATTTTTTAACTCAACTCCTTTAAATATGTTAATATCCTTAAAGAACCTTTATTTATAATTGATTCTAATGCAGTGATTCTCAACCTGTGGGTTGTGACCCCTTTGGGGGTCAAACGTCCCTTTCACAGGGGTCGTGGAGCAAAATTACAGTGATGAAGTAGCAGTGAAAATAATTTTATGGTTAGGCGGGTCACCACAACATGTGGAATTGTCTTAAAGGGTCATGGCATTAGGAAGGTTGAGAACCACTGCTCTAATGTGAATTAATCACTATCCAGTGTTATCTTTTGCAGTGTCTTCCAAACAGGGCTTTGCTCAGTGATGTAAGCTTTAGTTGTTATCATCCTGTAGCAGATGCTATCTATATATGGTTTGGAGGTGGTCTGGAAGAAAATACAGATATTCATTATTAATAGAAGTACACAGGTATTTTTTAGTTACATCAAAATATCTTTTATTTAACAAGTATCTCTGGGTCATTTTATGTGTCAAGCACTAATACTTTATAACTAACGTATTAGTTATAAAGAGAAAAATACCTGACTTCCTATCTCAATGAATTTCAAACATGCATACTAAAACCTAGAATACTTTTAAGAATTG